AGGAATAGATTGTACTCCCATTGCCTGCAATGGGAATAGGTCCTTGGTGCATAATACACACAATCTTTTCTTTTTTTTCCTATTCTCCTCAGAATTTGGAGAGGAAGAATAAAATATTGAAGCATGACATAATGCAGCGAGAACAAGGAAACTGCCCATTTCACTGAATGAAACACATCTTTTAATACCTAAAAGAAACAGGTCTTTCAGAGCCTTCTTTTGATTCTTTAGTGACGAAAGGATGGCAGTAGAGAAGAGCGTGTAACTGCATGAGGCTGCAGAACTTCCTTTGCCTGGAAGGTGATGCAGCTTTAAAATGGAGATTGCTTACAGGATGCCTGGAGTGAAATAATGACTGTAACCGTACCTTGTCCAAGCACACCCACGCTTTCTTTAAACAACCTTACTCAGGTGCCAGACCCCAATAGCTTGCAACTCAGAGCGGATAGTATCAACCTGGTCATGGTGTTGGGTAAACGCATGGGCATTTGGGTTGCCCTGAGCTCCGCAATGCCACAGCCCCACTGTATCTGAGCTGGCTAATTGAAAGCAAAGCCAGGTTTGTCTGCAGGTGCTGCAATCCCCGCCGCTCGGCTCCACTCGTGCGAGGCCCTTTGGCACAGCAGCAGCCGCTCCGCTGCGAAGAGCACAGGGCTGAGCACCGGGATTTGCAGGCTGAGGGCAAGCAGACACATGACAGCGTATCCCAAAGTGCACACCGAAGGTGCGGTCCCTGCCCCAGAGCAGCTGCCATCCTTTAAAAAGGTTCAGCCACCCCTGGGAAGGAAAATGGCAATGCAGGAAATAAAGGCACAGAGAATGTGTCACGAGGAACAGGGTTTTCCTGAGCCGATTTCTTCACTGAAGCTTTTATGAAATTTTAAAAATATTGAAGCGAACATAAGTAAACCTCAATGTCTATTTTCTTTCTTTATCATATTATACTATATTATATTATACATATACTGGATGTATGAGAACATGTGTGCGCAAGAGCGTGTGTGTATGGAGACTCATATATATTTAACATTCATATACTTAAGCAAAGATTCCCTAGGCAGTTTTGGTTATATTTCCTCACTGACAATCTTCCATTACAAAAAAAGAATCTTTCACAGAACCCAGAGAAACAAATGCTGGGGTATCTGATCTCTTTAATGCCATTTCAATTCTTGAACTGGTGTTTTTTGTTGTTGTTGTTGGGGGTTTTTTTTTAAGTAGAACATTGCCACTGAAGTTATTTTCAGAACATCATATGGATTTTTCATTGAAACATCTGTGTTAACTTTTATCATCCTTGCTCTGCTTTGTAATTTTGGAAACAGATATAAAGAATGAGCAACCCAGAGCACAGTAATATAGTGGGAAGCATCCTTCATAAGTCAATTGAGGAATTTAATAATCTCTTTAGAAATAAGCTCTGCAGCTATGAGAAAAATGTGTGGGTTAAAGGCCTTCCAATTAAGAAAGGTTTCTCTGTGGATTTATAGGCTGGTGGTTAGCTCTTCCTGTTCGTGTTTCCATGGCAACTGTCAGGTAGATTTTCTGCTACTTGCTAGGAAGTTGGAAATGTTGAGTCTGGTTGAGCCTTTCAATTCACTGAAGCTTAAATGAAATTCTTTGCAAGGAACTGGCATTTAGCCTGGGTCATTTATTCATATCTGGAAGAGAAATCAATTATAGTAATCAAATGTGCAAATTTTTTTATTGGAATTATTTTGGGTACAAATTATTTATTATTATTGTGCCACAATCTATTTTTAATGCTAGGGTAGGAAAGGTTTGAAATGCTGCAGCTGGCCTCTTTGCTACCGATGGCTTATGGCTTTAATTACAGCCCGAGACACACACAGGCACGTCTCTTTCTGGTCCGCTTTTACAAGCTATAATCACTCCCGGTGATATTCATGATACCAGCTAGAATCCTGTAGACTCATTAGAGCTGAGACACCTGTACTGCGAGAAACACAGCTTACCACCTTTTCTCCTTTCAATTTTCTTGTCTTGTTGATTTGTTTGAATTAGGCTTGAGGAAAGTAAACAATTTGTACGCTGTTATTCAAACTTTCCGAGTACATCATGTTTTAATTCCACATCAGAATCTCTGTGTGTTCGCGCATTTCTTTGTGCTCCTTGTATTTTCCATCCCACACTGACTGCTGCTTGACAGCTCCATGCAAGCTTTATTCTTGTAATTCTCTAACATCAGATACGTAGGCGTACATAGTGTGTACCTATACTTTCAACCTTCCTATAAGACACAATCTGTACCACCCAAAGAGCTGTGTCCTGTAGGCTGTATGTGAATAATCCCAAGTAGGTTTCATTGACTTTTCTTGCAAGAATAAAGCCAGCAGGACTTCGCCCAAAGATCACAGATTATCTAAACAGAGGCAGAATGGTCCTCTGGTTGGAGTAGCAATTAAGAGCTTGGAAAACCTGGGGGCTCGCTTCCCCGCTCTGTCACAGACTTCCAGGGAAAAGGGAGATTCGTTTAGTAGCAGATCCAAAACGGCCACAGCTCTGCCGAAGTCCTCTCGTAGCGAAGTTATCGGAGCTGTGACAGTTCATGCTAGCTAAGAATCTGCTCCATTACCTAAACCTCTCTTCAGTTGTATAATAGGAATAATGGCACTGCCCCACCTCAAGAGATGTCGTGAGGATAAATAGTTAGACAGGGAAGTGTTATGATACTATGTTAATGAGGACCAGAAAATTACCTGCGATAGACAGAAATCAGCATAACTGATCTGACATTTGCTTTTATTCTTTCAGTCCTTCTGCCACAGAGAGACAGTAACAGGTTGACGAGGAAAAAGGGATGCCCAGCCCCGTTTCCCCTGTTGCTTTGCTTTGCTTTGCTTGCTTTGCTTTCCTGCTTTCCTTCTTTCTTTCTTAGGATTTCCACTACCTTTAAAAGCTTTTAAAAACTTGCAGACAAATATTTTATTTCACTTTCATCTTCATCTTTTCCCAGTATATTTAATTCTTCTTTTTTTTATTTTTTGAGCTATTGTGCTTATCTTTTCTTCCGTGGATTAAGTCCAAAACCTGTACACACACACACACACAAAAAAAAAAAAAAACAGATTTAGTTAACTTTAAACACGGTATTATTTCCTTGGAAGTTGGTAAAACATGCAGAAGAGAGTCTTTGTGATGTAAACTTTGGCAGTTACTTGAAGGCCACCTCATAGAAAGAGAAGAATTGATCTGGGTACATGGAGATGTAGCACCTTGTGCTAGGATACAATATCTCAGATATCAGCAGTATATTTAACGTGCAGATTTTGTATGATGTTACTCAGCTGGATGCTAGAATTGGTCTAGGAAGGGCAACATAAGTCTCCTATTTTCATGACCAACCATCTTTCTCAGGTAGATTTGGCACCCTAGACTCAGGTCCCAGATCCTACATTGCTATGCTACCTAGCATAAAGTGCCTTGAGGAGTAAGTTTCACTAAAATTGCAGTGTGGACCTCTCCCTTCCCTTTGGTTCTGTCACAGCGCTGGCCTGACCCTTTCCATGTCTTTCCAGGGAAGTCCACATGACGCATCTGAGCACCAGTGTGAATTTAAGGGTTGGTACTGTCAGAAATGCACAGTGGAGTTGAGTGAAGACTCCCAGATCCACAGGAAGAAGAAACTGCCTCTGCTACACCCACTGCACAGCGAAGCACCCGTGTGCTTCCCTGTCATGGTTCTTAGGGCCGGGAAGACAATTTGATAAATCACTATGACCTTCTCTGCTGGTTAGGGGTGTGTACTTCACCAGGACACAGAGCTGAGCCTAATCCCTGAATTAAATTATAAACTGCATCAATCCTCAAGAGACTAAACTGCTTTGTGCCACAGACAGAGCTGTGGAAAGCTCAATGTACAGCCAGTGCCACCAGCAGGCATGACAGCTTTCCCCAAGGTCTGTACTGACTGCCCATTATTCTCTGGTTTATGATAGTTTTGTTAGTTTTAGCTAGTGAGGGAGGAGCAGTTGTGTCTGTTCAGAGGGCTGCCTCTGTTATGTACAGCTCCTCCAAGACCCTGAACGTAGGTTCACCTTGCCCACCACAACCACACCCGGAATAGGCCGGACTTATCCTTCATGATCACTGTAGAAGATGGGTGTACGGCCATGATTTTGATAAGATTTGAAAATATCCTCTTGTTCTCTCCTGCCAATAAATGGTGCTTTGCAAACAGAAGTAGTCAATATCTTGCAGATTGCAGTTCCAAGAGGTTGAAGGCTTGAGTTATAACTTGGACTCTGTCCGCATTTCTCTTCTGTGGCTCTTTAAACACTGGGTTCAGGCACACACAATAAAGGAAGCCAAGTGCCTACTTAACCTCAGTCCACCACAGCACATGGGCGAGAAGAGGCCAATAAGTAGTGCAGCAGACCCAGCAGTGAGGGGTGCAGCCGACCCAGCAAGTTAAGGATGGCTTTGCTGTTCTAGGAACTTAATTCACCTTACTTTGGTGCAAATAAGCAACGGAATGGGTGGAACTGAGACTGTGAAGCATAGTGTTTCCAGGGTGGTTGTATCTATGCATCAGCCTTTGCTGACAACTGTGTATGAAGTAATTTTTTTCAATCACCTCTATGAACACATGCTGAATATCTCACCCTAAAGTAGCACTGTGCAGAAGCTGCAAGTGTCAAAGTGGCAAAGCGCTGGCAAGCACTGAGGCTTGTTACATAAAATCTAAAGCAGTGCATTCCTTCACTGCTATATATCACCACATCTGTTTTAAATGTAAAGGCTGGTGTTGCAGGTGACCTTATATACTTTCAGGCATTAGAGTATGTTAGAGAGTATGTTTTGGAAAGGTTAAAAAAGATGTCGTTTCTTTTTTCAGAAGCTATTAGTTGGATACAAGCAAAGTATTTCAGCCATGCAGTGTTATTGCAGGAAATACAGGGATCACTTCAGATTCAGTAACGGCTCGTTCTCACGGCACTAAAGATTTGTGGCATTTAATCAAAGAATGCACTTCTCCATCACAATCCCGGTACAGATTCGTATTTCCGTTTATGCATGCGCTCCCAGGATTATCCATACACAATTACTCTGCTGGTGTTCTCAATGGTTCTGTTAGAAGGCAAGAAACTGTTTCACCAAATCACTTTCTTTCATTCCAAATAAAACAGCAGAATGAAGATATGAAAATGTGCTTTTCCATAGGTGCAATGCTTGGACTTCCTTGGGGAACGAGGAGTGCTAGCAAGAGACAGGATCTATTTGACCACGTAAGGTACTGAGGAGAGCTTTAAACTATGTAAGTCATGGGATAACAGGGGGACAACAACTGTAAGCTGGGCTGGTAGGGACATCAGGAAGGGTGATAGCAGTGAGAGAGCCCTCGGGAAGGATAAACTTGTCTGAAAGGGGGGGTCCGTCTCTGTACACAACTGTAGGCAGCCTGGGAAACAGGCAGGAGGACTCAAGGCTCAGCATGTGGATGAGGAGCAACCACACTTGGAGCAACGGAGACATGGTGGGTCTGGAGACCTCCTAGAGTCCCTTCTACCCTGAACGAGTCTGTGAGGCCGTGACATGAGTGGAGTTGCTCAGTGCTTGCATTCTTATATAAGGCATTGATCCAAGCCTGATTTCTTGACTTAGCTCATAATCCTTTCTTTATAAATTATTCTTTCTTAAATGATCAATATCGTCACTTTCAAGGATGGTTACTTTCACTAAAATTAACTTCCAATTCTTCTCCTACTTACATTAGTGAAAAACCGGAGTAACTTCACTGAGACCAATGCAATGACTTCAAATTTGCATTGCTGTCATTGAGAGCATGCAAGAGCTTTACGGAGGGAAGACTTAAAGATAATTGTGGAGACAGGTGAAGCTTTAGATAGCTTTTATATTTCCTATATGGATATACTCACTTTTTGAACTCAGAGAATAGCTCTTGAGTTTTTGAATCTTATGTAAATGCTCTAGAGTACTGGCAGTGAAGGACTATATTTTTTCTTACTTCTGTATGTGGGATTGACCTATTCCCCTTCCGTCTCTCCTACTTTACATCGGCAGAATCAGGCCAATATCCACGAATCCCGCCTCTGAAGGAGAGCAAAAAACTACAGACCAGCTGAATCACATAGATTACTGCTCCTTATCTTACACCCTTTCAAATATCAGCAAGCACGCATCATCAGGAAGATCTTTACACTGCATAATTTAAATCCAAGAGAAAAATTTATTTCAAATGTTTCAGCCACTACCGATTGTTCTTATTATTGGGGGGAAAAAAAAGCTAGTCTTAATTGTTGCTATGGTAACTAACACATCTGCCAGGATATGTTGGAGTGGGAGAAAGAGTGTGAATTCTTGTGAAAATTTCCTGTTTTCTTTCCATGGGAAGACTTAAGAGCACAGCTCCATAGTGGCAACTTTACAAACTCAGCTAGAAGGCACTGTGAAACTGAAAGGCGAGCAGTGGGAAATGAATGGCAGGAAGTGCTCCTGTTTAAATAAACAAGCAAAAAGAGTATCATTGTCCGTGGGACGTTGCCTCGTTGCCTTGTCAGAAACAAAGGTTTTGCAGAATTTAAAATACTGTTGGGCACTTTACACGGATGGTAACATTTTCATTTTCAACAGACTCATCAGACTCATGCTTTGTGGTTCCGGCCAGCTCATTAATATGGAAGGAAGGAAGCAAAGGAAGGATTTCAGATTCTTTAGAGTGCCATTCATCCGAATGTGGTTGTACACCGAGTGGGTGGAAAACGTTTCTCCACAATGGACGTTTGCCCATTCCACGTTCTATAAAACAAAAATAAAGAGAATTATTTCCCAAACTTTGTCATCGTTGATAAGATGGCCTTCACGTTCTCTTTCTCACCCTTCCCGCTACCCACATCTTTGTGTTTTAATTCTGAAAAACTTCGAGGCACTGCTCCTTTACTTATAGCTCAGACAATTCACCTGCAAGGTGGGTGGCTTCACTGAAAGATAAACAAACTTCTAACAAAACCCCACTGGTTGGTAAATGACCAACTCTGCTGACACTGCAGGCTGCGGGGAACTTAAACTACCCTGGGAAGTTAGCCATTTACTGTAGTACAGAGTAAGAGCCCCTGTTGTTTCCTTGGCCTGGAAACAGCTAGTGAGGGTTCTTTTTTCTCTTTTTTTTTCTTACAAAAAAATTGATTTTTCTATTGTTTTGCAAAAGGATGACAATTTAAGACTTTTTTGCTGCTTTAATGTAATATATAAAACACCATAACTTCTATCGCATCCTTTATCTGACACATATATTGATTTCTTTTTTTTTTTTTTAGATCGTTAGCATCTTTTCTGCTTTTAAAATGTACTTCTAAATCTAATGGTTTATACCCTCATGTTCAGGGCTTTTGACCTTCAGCTTTGGGATTTCTTGTCTTGATCTTGTTCCTGTTGATGCCTCCCTATCCTGATTTCCAGCTAGTTTCTACATTCCATTGGCTTTTATTCCATACAAAAGACTTGGTAAGACATATGGCTTCATGATCCATCTCCTTTCAAACTCATTGTGCTTCTGGGTGACAAATAAACTTGTTTATCCAATATTTTAACGGTAAAATGAATGTTTGTCAAACCCCACAGTTGCATCTTGTTCAGTCTGCTTCTATGGAAATGACCTCCTATCCATGAACGTCGATTCTGCATCCCTTAGTGAAACCAAGGGGAGGAGGTGACTGTGTACATGTTCAGCATTTCTAAATATCAAGGCAGATACAGGCATTGACTTGACTCCTCTTCATTCCCAAAATGCATTCCCTTTGGTTTTTAGACTCACACAACTTAATCACGCTTGCTTGAGCTGGAGATATGGCATACTCTCTCAGCAGACATTTTGCACCAACAGCTACCTCTGCCTGAGGTTCCTTCGTTGTAGGGATGACTCAAGTTGCCATCCTATCAAGAGAAAGGCATCTTTCTGACATTTCTCAGTGAAAATTAAATAAATAAATAAATGACAGTTTATATAGCGAGCCTGGGCAAGAAAAGATCAGCAATTTTTAGGGTCGAGAATTACAGATATATTCTTTAGCTGTCAGTAAGCTCAAACAGATCAGCTAGATAAACTATCTCCTCCTCTCAAGCTAAATATCTATGGGGCTAGTCAACTGGTCCAGGGAGCAGCTTCTGGCCCTAGTCCAAGTGTCACAACACCACATGGACTGAGGCTTCCAGCCTTCCCACCTCCACAATCTTCTTAGTCTGGGTGTGCTCTTGGGTAAGTGAGGGGGCTCCGTGACCTTAAGAGTAATCATTGATTAGGGGTATGTATTGCATGCCCTGAACGTGGCAGTGAGGGGTGTTCGGAGGTATAAGCCTGCTGAAGCAATAAGGAAGGACTATGCAGAGAGGGGAGCCAAATAAGGTCTAATTTCATCCTTCTTTCTGGGTGTCATCCTGGGGAGAAGTAGATGGTTCCCTCCAAAGGAGAAACCCAGAAGTGAACAAGGCAGAATGATCAAGGGAGCAAGAGTAAAGAGCAGGGTGGACATAAGTTCACTCGACCAACTTTTGCATCCTTTTCAGTTCTTTGATCTCCTGTTGAGCGGTTTTAAAGGAAAAATTCTATGACAAACCAAGGGTGAAGAGGAGGTCTGGCCTGAACGTAGCATTTCAGTGGGTTTCTGGTGTACTGTTTTTAATGAAGACAAATCTCAGGGAAAAAAATAAAATGTGATTTCGCACATTCCTTTACTGTATGGAAGAACTGCTGAAATTCATCTCTGGACCTAGTCATACTATACTTGACTCCATATAGCAGAATTTTTCAAAAAGGAAGGGAACTGCTAAAAGTATTTTCATTGATTTTTTTCTTTTACAATTTTTCTATGACTCTGAAGAGTGTGTGTTTTGTTAAAAATAGTTAAATCCAATTTTTAAATGAAAAAAGCTTTTTATTTCAGAATAAAATATTTCATTTTAACACACTTTATTTGTTATACAAATAAAATATACAAAAAAAGAAAAAAGCCCAATTTTTAAAAATATTTTGGATTAAATTCTTTTTTACATCTACTTAAAATTTGATGAAGCTACAATTTCTCCTCCTGTAGAATTTTTCCTGAAGACGATTCCAAATTATATCGGATGGTTTGGCCTTTTAAACTATACATTTACTTTTAAAAAATAGGAGAAAAAAGAAGAAAACCAGGACAGAGTGTTGGAGAGAATTGTCTTTAAATTACTGAGTTTTATGTACAACATCCCTCTGTGTGCATGGCAGAACCACAGAAGCCAGCAATGGCAAAGATATTAGATCATCCAGTCTTTCTTTCTTAAAATGGAGAAATCTATCTATCTGCTTTGATATACAATCAAAAGAAATTGAAATTGAACTGTATGTAAAAAATTAAGCCAAATGGTCTTGGTCTTAGAATGCACGTTACTTTACTGTTTTATATTTCATATCTCTAAGGGAGAATTTTCTGAAAACATAAATGGGAGTTGAGTGCCTGAGTCGATGGAAATCGGACACCTGACTCCTATTTGTGCCTTTGAAAATCTTTCTTTTATAAATCATTGTGGAATTCCTATACTATAATAGAATATAGAAAGCACGATGGGGCTCAGAAGTGATGCTTGAAGTTCTCCAAGGACTATAAGGATACCCTTTCTACTTTCTTGCCTTTGAAACCAATATTCTTGTTTAAGTTATTGTATATAAATGTAGCTGCTCTTTTTGCAAAGAATTATGGTTTGCAAATTATGATAACCAGCTTTCCTGCTGTCAGTCGTTCAAAATTCTTTTGTATGATCTTTTCCAAAAAACTGCACTGTCGTTTGCACCTGTCTTTTACTGATAGTCTAAACTAGTGAATCTCTGAAAACCACAGGGAGATGAAAGTGTTCTGTAGCTCATTGGGCGACTGATTGCTGTAATTATTACAATAGTTTTAAGTTACTTTTTTTTTTTTTCTATTTTGAGGCTTTCTGGCCAGCTATTATGCTATCCTAACAAGAATGTACAGAAAATCAATGACCTGAGAAGTTCAACACACAGTAATATGACTAAACTTGGAAATACTGTGCAATATGGTTTTACTTGTGGCCTAATCCGACCTGTGGCTTTTTTTCCCCCCTTTTTGTAACATCCCTCTTAATGCTTTATAGTCCTGACACAGTGTAGCTTTTCTTTCAAAGTAAATTCATTTCTGTAGGGTATGTAATGATACCAAGAGATATTCTGATTTCCAGACAATATTTTTTTTCATCATACTGAAATTCAAGAGAAATGCTACTCCTTCTTGCTTGTAAAAAATATTTTGAAGGTTTGTTTGTATTCCTCCCCAAGATAAAGTTTCCAAGGTCTTAAACCCAGATTGGAATTCATTCAGAAGTACAGACAATTGTTCAGGAAAATGAAAGCTATCATGAGGGTTCAATTAATATTTCTTTTCCATTTTTGAAAGAAATAGGAGATTCATTTTGAGCAAGATGAAGTATTTTTGCATTCATTAATAACTGAAGAGCATGCAAAATAACAGCTAGTAAGGATTCTACTTTTTTATCAACAGGCTCCAACAACTTACATATTAGACTTCTTTAAGAGTAATTCAAGGAAATATCACCCAGTTACTAAGATATCCTTAATAGATCTTGAAGTACTGGAAAAAATCCAGGAGACCAAAAAAAAACCTGATGTGACAATGTTCAGATAGGATAAGTGGAATCATCTGGTAAACTTCAGGGCTGTCACCGTGACACTGAATTTTGGAAAATATGGAAGAAAGAAACAGGAATTAAGCTCATGGAAATTCATAGAAGAACACAATATCATCCAGTACTAATTTATGTGAAAAATATCTTTACAAATTAGAATGTGATAACTGATGAGGTTATGAGTTTGCTAAGCGTAATTAGGAGATGAAACATATTACTTTGGGTATGCAAATTAGGTTTTAGAGTTCCTAAAATGACCTCACATGGTGATTTTCAACATCTGCCTGAAGTAACAGTTCAGATGGGCTCAGGCAGAGTGTAGATACTGGGATCCAAGAGAACTATAGAAGTGTGCTATCTATGGGTGCAGACAGACGAGACCTCTGAGTCAGCCTAACAGCTTTCCGTTGCCAAAAGAGGCAGACCTGATCCTCCCTCCCCTCTTTCACTCCTCTTTCCCACCCTCTTTTTTTTCAGCCGCTTGCCTGTGGTGCCTCTCTGACCCTTTGGTGAGCTAATTCAGCTTGATGACTTTCCTTGAATTTATTCATTGTTTTGCTGGGCTAATTTTCTTCTGCATTAATGGGTGGAATTGGCACATCAAGAACTCAGACAAATGTCAGAGCTTGCATATGGAAAACAGCTGGCACATGGGGCCAGGAGCCAGCTAGGGGAGGTGGAAAGATGGGAAGAGTCAGAATGCCTTCTTTTGGCAACAGAGAGTTGCTGAATCAGCTCTGGCCGTGTCATCTGGCCGTGCTCTGCGTCTGTGTCCCTCAAACACCCTCACACCAGTGGTGCCTCCATTTGGAGCACAAACTTCACTTGGTGCGTGAACCACAGTGTCTCCAAAGCAGCATCTCAGTTCAAGCAGAGAGGTCTGGAGCTCCCACCCAAGCTCTATCATGACCCAGCAGAAGGGAGGGGGGTCTAAAATCTTGCAGAGGGGCGTCTGAATGCTTGCAGAAGCCCAGTCTGAGGTGGTGATAGTATTATTTACCATATTGCTAGGGGTCATGCACAGGGAAGGGGAGTCGGGGATTCCCCTCATCTGTATACTTTTAGCAAATAATCAAGAGGGAGCATTTTTTTGTACTTTAAAAATAAGAAAAACATCCCAGAGAAGAGAAAGGGAGGTGCTGGCTTGTGATCCCATCGTCTTCAATAGCAGGCTGAGTAGCTCTCTTGGGTCCAATGCCTAGACTCCAACAAAGTCCACCCTGGGTATTCAAATGGGCAATCGGTACTATGCTTATTCTTATGAAAGATACTGTGTAATACTGTAATCAAAGAATAACTTCGTACAAAATCAGTAAAACTCTAAAGATTAAACCGGACATCAGAAAAAGTACTTACTGGAAATGTTTTGTGGTATGAAAGTATTTCTAGTAGGATTCTGCAGAAATGTATACTAGGGCTGAGATATTCAGTGTTTCCATAGTGATGTGGAAATAAACATGGTATGGCAGCCAAAAATGGGTAATTATTGGCAGAATGATAGATAACGATAGTAACACGGAAAATTTGCAGAACAAACTGACGAGCAGGGTCCATTCAAAGAAGTATGCCTACAGTGTATCTAGCTGCACATATAAAAGTGAGGGACATTACAGAATTAGAGATGGCATCGTGGTAAACCACTAACCTCCAAAATTATTTAAGGTCATAATGTAACAGGAACTTAATATAAAGTCTTACTAAGTTATCAGGGAGGAAGGACAATTGTAACTCTTGGAGGAAAAGTGGAAGATTGATACTAACTGTTTAAGTGACATTAAGGAGCTAAATAATGGTATTTGGTCTTTTTTTTCTAAAAAGAAACATTTTGAAAAAATTGGACAGGAGTCAGGCAAAGCTACAACAAATATTTAGAGGCTAGAAAAAAAAAACAGCTTTTATTTTCCTAGGTAAAAAGCATCTCTTTTTGGTCTGAGTCCATGCACATATGCCCCCTGTAAAAATTTTCTTGCCCCAAGAAAAAGGTTGTGTCTGCATGACGCAACCCCTTGAACTGTAGGGAACCTGCTCTCACCAAGAAAATATTACTTTGCTTCCAATTGAAGGCAGTTTCTTCCAGAGGTGAGATAGTTTCTTCCTAAGACAGCTTCCCAGGTTAATTCGTGCACGTCTGTCCTATGTGTCAGTTAACTCCATGCTTTTCCCTTGGAGCCACTCGGCAGGCACAGCTACGGCCCAAAGGAAGGTGGAGAGGTGACTTGATAAGTACCTGCAGGAGCTGAAAATCGGAGGTTTTAAATGGCTCTTTTATCTAGCAGAGAAAGCTGTAACAGACTGAAGTTGAACGACGCTGATTTCAAACTGGAAAGTAGGCAGCTGCTTCAAACAGCGAACGGGATTGACCACTGGAACAAACTACTAGTAAAAGTGTTGGTTGCTCTATCCCTTGACGCCTTCGTGTCAGGTGCAGATGCCTTGGTGGTAGTCAAACAACAACAGTTTGGTTTAATTCAGGCAAAATTAAAAGGCCTCTGACGTACAGAGGTCAGAGTACATGAGCTAGAGGTTTATCTGCTTTGAGCTACATGGCTGTCTTAGTAAAAGAACATCATTAAGAAACTATTGTATGGCTAATTTCTTTCTTTTTGCTCTTTTTTTTAGCAGCAGTTATTCCAGAGCTGATTAAGTATTAATCTAAAATCCTGTTTTCTTACTTTAAGGTCCGCTTGGTGGGATGTCGGTTTTCTCCAGTGAAGCTAATGAAGATAGAGGGATCTCAGCACTTGGCAGGACTAAATGAGTTTTCCCCCTTTCTGGTACCTGAGGTACATGAGCAAATGCCAACTTCAATCATTTTCCCCGTATAAACAAAATATTAGCACCTGCTCTCAGAAAATCAGTAATAAAACTAATATTTGTGTCCTCTGAGATTATAATCCAACTTGAGAGAGAGAATTTAAAGAAAATGCAGATGTGGGGCTAGACACCTAGTTCATACAAGAACTTCCTAAAACTTTTCTGCAAAAGAAGAATGAATAGTAAACAATAAATGAGAGAATGGCAAATATGTATTCATTCAAACATTCATGCTTGACACTTTCAGAATTCATAAGCTTTTTCACAAAACATCTGGCTCACTGAATACTCAAATAACATGACCCCTGTAGTAGCAGTAGACTGATTAACCGTGTTTATTTATGAAAATGTTCTTGTCAAATTTTTTCATTTTTTTTAAGTCAAGCAGCTCTAATAGCAAGAATATAAAGCAAGAATTTAATTAAAACATGATGGCAAGATCAAACGGTTTTAATTGGAGTAGGGCAATATACTACATGTAATGGCAGTGATTTGCAGTATAGTTAGTTTGATCTAAGTATCTCTTAACTTGAACCTTGTGGCTCTTTCTCTAGATATTACCCACATCTCAGTGAAATTTTATAGGAGGTGAGAGTCTTGAGATTCTCTGAAAAATGTTAGCCTGAGTTCTTTAAGGTTGCCGCGGGGGCATGTATGAGTACTTCTGAGTACTTAACAAAGTACTTAAATGTGATTTTTTTCAGAAGAAATTTCTTTAGGAAAGGGTTTAGTCAATTAAATGTCCATTTTTCAGAAATCTATTAAAATAACAGGTTTTTTTGAAGCACCTTTTTTCCTTATCCAGTTCAACTATATATTTGATATTCAAAAACATAGGAATCATTATCTATGTAGGAATTTCCAGGAATTCATGGAGAAGGTTTTTTTTTTTTAACTTGCCTAAGTCATTGCAAAAAGATTGATAATTTGATCCTGAAACTTTTTAATTATAATGTGTAATTGAAACACTTACATTTCAATTAAAACAAAGCAGCCTAAAACCATAGGGTGTTAGAAGCTTATAAGCAGGGTATAATTTATTGCCATTTTGATGATCTGTAAAACTTCAGCTTAAATCAATTATAAATAACTCATTTGAAAATAGATATAAGTGAATTAACTAAATTGATATCAGTTTCTTTTTGTGATCTGAAAATATGTGCATAAATGGCAAGAAAATGTTAATTGACCTTAACCTTTTCTGTGATAAGTCTCTTCAGTAATGCAATAATACTTTGCACTTAAACAGTATAGTACCTCTTATGTGAAGATCTCAAAGAGCTTTACAAAAATTAATTAAATTTCATAGCACTTCTTTGACGTAGGCGTATGAAGTATTAAATAGGTAATTAAACTGAGAGAATGAGAGGCTAAAGCCAACATTTTCAAAACAGGGTACCTAACGTTAGGAATGAGACCCTAACTCTGCTTATTGTGGTACCTTATTCTCATTAAAACTACAGTTCTCATTGATCTTAGGGCTCTAATGACTCATAAGCACAGAACTTTTGACCTACAAGGTCTTTGAGGCAGGTACTCCATTGCTTTGTCCTTTATAATGCCAAGCAAATCGCAGGTCAGCTCGCATGCAGACTCCTGCTCAATGGGAAGAGAGAGGCAGCCTCTCATCTTTCACACCTCCTCATTCTGCCAGCCCACAATACAGAGAATTTACCTTAGATACTCAGCATGGCTTTGAAACACTATCACCATCCAAGAGAGTGGGATGAATTGTCTCCTGGAGGTGGCTATCTCCATCAGCAGTAGAGACAACCTTGAAACTAGCTAACAGAGATGCCTAATTTTTAGACAGCCAATATCATGTGAGATTAATTTCACTCCAATTAGGAAAGAAATTCTACTGTGTGGACCTGATCAGCACAGCAATGCTATAATTCTAGCATCAAGAAACCACACTGAATACGTAATACTAACAGGTATTTTCTGAATAGAGCACTTTGAATCATGTATTTCTATGTCACTTTGAGACTAAACACATAAAAATGGAATGAACTTTATCATTAATATCCTACATTCATGTTAACGTATATTGCAATCTGGATAAACATAAAAACTTCCTTCCTGAACAAGGTTTATGTTAACAAAGCTTGGAGGTGCAAGGCATTATCAAGCAAGCTGTAGCTACATATAAGAATGTAATGGTATGTAGGCTGAGCTCTCTGGATTTTCTTCTTCTCTTTTGTCTACTTCATTCATGATGAATCTGGGGGAAAAAAACAATCTTCTCACCAACAACCAAGCATCCCCCCAGGAATTAATTAGAATATAAGCAGGGGTTTAGCACTTTTATTGGAACTGAGCTCAGAAGGCCTCCACAAGTCTCTTAGCCGAGACTGGATGCCTGGAGGTGCCCCCCAAGAAGAGACTTGAGAGGAGACAGGGTAATTTATCTTCAGTATCTCAGTCCTCTGGTTCCCAAATGTCTTGTCTGATGATGTAGGGAGATACTGGAATTGTGGGTACCAGGTTATATTTCAGCTGCTTTTCCGACTTACACATTGTTTTGTTTCTTACTTTCTCTGTCTGTCCTCTCTGCAGTCAGAAGTTAGCTTCTGTCTCCTGCTTACCAGTAGAATGGGCTGCTTATGGTATCTTCAAAACTGAGAACACCACAGATCCATCGGAAAAAAAAAATCAAACTTTTAAGATACATGATACCTTATTTTCATGAGACCCACTGTTCATCCATAGACTCATGAAGTTACAGGCCAAGGGAGACCTCCAGCTCATCTACTCTTGTCTCCTGTATCTCCAGTACCTGCCACTCTTGGTTTGATTGGTTGATTGGTTGGCTTTTTTCTTTTACACGTGAGTACAAATCACCTAGATTAAAACAAAAACATAGAATTCATGCCTGGAAATCACCAACCAAAAATACAATTTGATTATATTTGTCTTCTAAGCACTTCACAGGACTGAGTCAGCTTTATTTGTGTCAGATATCATACTCCAAGGTATATGAGAGATAGGTACATCACTAAGAAATTATAAGAGGTAAGGACATGAACCAGCTCCCCTTGCAAGCAATGGAAGTATCTCAGTGTATTTTGTTTGGGCTCTATAACTTTTGTGTGACCTTGTTGCCCCCATTAAAAATAAAAATAGAAAATTAAAAAAACTTTCACATGTTTATGGGTGAAGGTCACTGAAGTGAAAATCTTTCCAAAGATCAAATGTATTTCAGAATAATTTATTAAAATAACAAAAGACAAGTCCAGAAGAAAGATCTTGTGTTCCTGTCACCGTCAAATCCATGAACTGGAGTATTCCTGGCAGAACAGAACCAGCTGGAGCTATCAAGCACAATTCTGGTGCTAGCTTACATTTTTATAGCTCCAGGGGCCAGTAGCATACAGCACAGAGTTGGCATCACAAAAGACAATAATAACTTTTGATGCCAATACTTGTTAAAAAAAAAAAAAGTATTTCTGTTTGGCGCTTAGGCAGCAGATGCTTTTTCTAGGTGTCTCCAGGTACATAGATAGGATAAATATATCCTGAATTATTCAGTTATACAGCTAACATATTTTGTAAAATGGCACATTGAGTATTTCCATATGAGGTGGGAGCCTGTCCCAGAAATAGTATAAAGAAAAAAAAAAAAAAGATATAGAGCCAAATCAGGTATAGTTTTCTCTCCCTAGCTTAATTTGCCTTTTCTTATTCTAGCAATAAGAATGGAGGGTAGCTGGATGGCAAGTTTTGGAGTTAAATATCAGTCCTTTTAGAAGAGCACTTTAAAGTTAGCCAGCTCCTCAAAAGGATCAAAGCAAAATGTAGATACTACACAAAAACACATTGGCATTCAAAGTAAAATATATATACCACATAAAAAAAAAGATATACCACATGGTATGTCAAAAAGATCACTCTCAATTGAACTTTGTACTCTCTTTGAAAAAGGATCTTATGTAATAACATCAGCTGTATGGATGCCACTTAATGAACATGAAGACAAACAGCTGCTACTTTTGTTATTTATAAAAGCACGATTACTGGCATGACCACTGAGAAAGTCAAAATCCTAGCTGTAGATTTTTTTTTCATTAGGTTTTGCATTGTCCATCCTGTTATTTTACAAATAGTTCCCATGTCATTATCTGTACTTAAAAAACATAAGATAAATGGCTAAATATTTAAAATTCAGAAAATGTTGCATATTAAATTTGAACTTTGCCCTGCTGCAAATGAGCACTGTGATTCCAGGATAAGCTATCTCCTGGTGGCTCTTGGGAAACTACACAAGGCCTGTTGTTCAGCATCGCTTTGTAGCAGCGGTCGCCTCCAGTCTGCTGCGGGCTCTGTTTCAGGTCAACTCAGAAGACCTGCACAACTCATCTATTTGTCCTACTTGTGTGGGCCTGATTAGCGCAGCACAAAAAGAGGCGTGCAGACCTCATCTGTACCTAATGGCACTGGCTGCTGACTTATTTATATATATATATATTTCAGGGAATGTTTTCTACCTTTGCTTACAATAGCTTCTAGTTCATTTCTGGTCCCCGTCAACTTGAGACTTTTGCATAGCAGCGTAAATGTCTTTATGGTTGGGAGTCTCATTTCATCTCCTTCTCATTTTGCTGCCTGTACTGCTGCACTGCGCTTGGTTGAGATGTGCTTTGCTTGAGCTAATCCCTCTAGGTTTAGATAGAAAGAAGCTAACTGTAAGGGATTTTCAGCACAGCTCAAACATGGAACTTCTTCCCTCCTCCTGACCGGCAAAGCCAGAGTTTTTTGCCCGTATGGCACCAGTCCTAAGTAGACATAAATAACCCTGTTGACATCAGTGCACCAGGTGGACTTATTTCAGCTAAGGCACTGGCTTTCTAGGGTATGCCAAAGGCCTGTTTTCTCACACATGCTTTTCCTTCAGAGATTGTCCTAAAGACACTGGACTTAACCTTCGCTCTTGACTTGACCTATAAATCCTAGTCCCAAGCGCCACTTCTCCCCATCTGAAATCACAAGTCTGCTCAAGCTCCTTCGGTCTGAGAGAGAAGAGCTGGCGAGAGATCTCCCTCAGCGTCTGAGCTCCAGTACGCACCCCAGCTCAGGGATCACTGAGGCAGCTGCAGAGCTCATCAATGTCCACAGGTGTCCGGGGAGGGGGATTTTGCTTGGAAGAGAATTTACAAGGCTGCAGTTTTTCCCTCTTGTTGTTGCCACATAAGATCTTATTGCTGCTAGTTTTATCTCTAGGACTAGATGTGTCTTTTAAGTAATCATTAGGACACCTGCAGCTTATGGAAAGACTACGAATATGAGCAATCATTTTAATTTCACTGATCTTAATTGTCCAGTCCTGGAGGGATTTTGTAATCGCAGATATTTTCACTTAGTAAATCAAGCCGGGTGCACAAAACTGAAATAAACCCCACAGTAACAAAAAACACTAATCATTTTTTTAATATCTTGCCTGGTACCTTTTTTAAAATCTACTTTATATATCATAATTGACTACCTCATATCTTATAACTTGCTTAATGTGTCCCTTCTGATTGCTCTAGTGCTTAGACATTGAGTGATACATCATAGAAACTTGCAACCAAACGAATAGGAGTCTTATTCTTGCTACTGCTTGCTAGGCTTTATTTTCAGTAATAGAAAGATGACAGTAAATTGCATCACTGAGAACAGTCCATAACAGTTTTAGGCAACCCTATCATATAATCCCATTCATAAATCCATTGAACTCCATTCTCAAACTGGTTAAGAGTCTTATTGCATCTCCTCTTGTTTATACACTGTCAGGCTCCTCTGATAGTTATAGCCTTGCATGTCATTTCAAGTTAAAATTTATTCATTACTATATTATATTCATGCATAGTTTGTAAGCAGGGTTGTCCAGTATTGCCAGGTAATAGCAACAAGTGTCTTTTGACCTGCATCATAAATTTCGTAATTAAAGCTAGGAGACACAAATCACATTCTGCAGCAGCGTGGCCTTGCTACGTGGCTTTAAAGCAAGTAAGCAAATATTTAAATTTTTAGGCAGCACAAGGATGAAGGGAGTCTAAATTCATATCAGTAGCAGAAAGGTGTTTGCAAAAGTGCATAGCACTGAACACAGTTACAGGATGCAAGAAAGTTTTGTGTAATTTCAGTTTATAAATAGTGTGCTCTATTTCGCATGTTCCTAACTCAAATATCAGTGAAAAGCTATGAACAGGTTCCTAAATTCTAGCACAGACTTACCACTAAAGCTCTAGGTTAGGCTTTCTGAAGCATGTCAAAAGCTACAGTCAGATAAAATTTCCTTCTGATCCATGAAATATTAGAGTTTAAACAGTACCATTTAGCTGCAACCACCTGTTTCAATTAATTCTCTTACACGTTTCATGCCCCGAAAGCTTTATTCTTTCTCCTTAAGTCCCTCTGTCAAAGACTGCAGATGGTTTCTTTTTGCCACAACTCTGTCATGTCTCAGTATTAGTAAGAGGAGAGTTAAATAAATCTACAAAGGACAGCACACATGTGCATCCATCATCACTTGCAAAATATGCAGGCATAATTGTCAGTCAGATAAGAGAAACCATCCTAAAGGACTTGCCGAGACAACAACCAACCTTGTGGCATACCTGCTGGATATCACATTCGGTTGTAAGCTTAGGGGAGGAAACGTGGTCTCGTAAGTGGGGCACTAGACGGGGCACTAAACTGCTGGTTCTAATCTTTGCTCTCCCACTGGCTTGGCAGGTCGTATTTTATCTTCCACGCTACTGTGGAAAAGCAAAATTTAGCTCTGTGGCGTTTAGAAAGAAGAGTACCCCCACCACAGTTTTTCAAAATGTTTCAAGCTGGAATAGATTTTCCGTATCCACGATGAGAAAGTATATGTGGAAGACCTTAGCTAAAACCTCAGTGTGTGCTTCTTTTTTTGTTGTTGTTTTTTGTTTTTAGGGTGAGATGTTTTGTAGGAGGTTTCCAAACAAATATTTTGTGATTGTCTTCTTCAATTCCAAAAATAATCCATTTTTTTAAATGCTCGCCTATAAGAAACAAAATGAAAGCTTTGCTCAGTTGTGGGAATTCATATGTTAAGTATTTCAAAATATTTCTTTGTGAGTAGTTTCACTTTCCAAATGCCTTTTTGTAATGGAAAAAAACCTGTCAAACAATCTGTCAAAATTTCTAAATCTGTTTCCATTTTGTTGGCCACTGTGCAAACATATGGCTTTTATGCTTGGCCTTGGAGAGAAAGAACTTCTTTGCAGTGGGGTTGTTTGTTCTGCGGGTAGATTTGGAAGTGTAAGTGAAATTACTGCAACAATTAGAGAATTATTTCAAAATATGAACAAGATAATATTTAAAATCAAGTAAAAGTATTCTTTTGCAACAATGCTTGGGGTGAACCAGGCATGGTATAGCCTGAGACATTGATATTCTCCACCCAAATTTTGGGATATAAGAGCTCTGTGTGCACAAAACTTGACCCTGAACTGCTCATTGACAGATCAAAGCTTTCATTATTCCTCTTTCTTCCTTTATCAAGGTTCTGGGATTTTACTACATATTTTTCTACATTGCTTATTCAGCATGTGATTTTTGCAAAACTCTTGGAGAAACTCAATTTAAGTACAAATAAAAGGAAGTTTTAGTGTTGATCATACTGTTCATACACAGATAGACCAGTGCTGCTGGACATCTTCATCCAAATGGGCAATCAGAGAAAAAAATCACAGACTCTGAAAGCCTCTTGGCCTCAGCACCACATTTGGGCTAAAGCTGAGCATTAGGTCTATAAAAGAATTGTTAACCTTTTCCTCTGTAGCTAAAATTCTGGAGCTATGGGGGAAGGTTTCAGCCCT